GTAAAGGGATGTGGAAGGGAAAAAAACGCCAAAAGAAAGCATAGGAATGGCTAGGAAGTGGAACCGGACCTTCTGATTGCCAGATTGCCAACATTTTTACTCCCAGGGCATGTACGTCCAAAGTCGGGTTTTTTCTGAACTCTGCATCTCAAGAAGTATATGTATACCAAGTTCAAGATTTCTAACCCTTCTAGAACATGGTTAGAATTAGCGCCAGTCAATAGAGTCACGATCGTCTATATATATTAGATTCAGAGATTCGACCTGAAAGCCGAATTGCGTCGTGTAGCGTGGAATCACATTTTGCTTCACGTAGTTTCCTTCCGAGTCTTCTACGTACTTCTCCAAGAATGGACTGTTGAAGGTGAAGCAATTTCCATAGTCGTCGCTTCGCCATTCGTAGAAATCCCTGGAAAGGATGACGGGCGGAGCACCAGTACAGGGTGGTTATCTTCTGCTAAATGGACCTTCTCCCTTTCGTTTCGGACAAGTGAAATGGAACGTACTTGCAGGAGCAATCTCGATTGTCGAAACTGCAGCTGGTTATGAAATCTCTGGCTCTAATCCCGTACTTTTTCACCTCGTCTTGATCCGGTGTGTAAATCTGCAACAGGTCGCTCATGTCCTTAGTCCTCGATTCGGCTATCGTTCGGCCAAAGACGCCGGTGACGTCTGGCACGAAAACACGCTGCTCTGATGCTCGGATGCAAAGTGATCGTTGCGTTCGTAACTGAAATCGTTGAGACTTACAATTCTTTTCGTAGCAGTAATCGGTATCTTTGGGGCGGCGGACGCAGACTTGTTCGCAGTTACACATTTCGTCATGCTTCTTATAGAGTTCGACTGCAAATAGAGGAAGAACAATGGATGGATTCAGTGTGACTCAGAGAACAAAAAAAAAGTCTAATTGTTTATTGTGCTATGTTCCTAATTCGATGGAATCTGCATTAAGTTGATTGCTCAGGACCCATGTTGAAAGGCACACATGCTTATTCTGACCTTTACAATGAGTCTCATCGGACATATCGGGGCAGTCGATAATCATGTTGCACCATTTGTCTTCCGTCAGGCAGCCGCCTTCCGTCACGCAGGAGAGAAGTCCGACGCTCTTGCAATCTGCAGAGAACGGACGAGGTATTTAAATGCCGATGCATACACTTTACACACAAAGTGATGTCCATTCCACTCCGAAAGGAGAACGAGTGAGAAGCATCCGTACACTCGGGGCAGTCGCGTTCGTCGGAGCCGTCTTGGCAGTCGTTCAAGCCGTTGCATCGGAGGTTCGGGGTGATGCATTTGCTCTCATTCATGCAGGAGAAGGCACCATCTATGGACTTGCAAACTGCGGTGGAATATCGGAGACAGCGAAGGGACACTGAAGTCG